CAATGAGAACGTTTGTTTGAGTCACTGTATTTGTCTTAAAGTTCTTTCAAACTATGAAATTTTGCTATTCAGTTTCATAATTTTCGCGTTTGATTGAAGGAAGATGTCGTTAATATGACCTCAAATACCTTGTAAATAGTTAAATGCAAAGTTCGTTATCACAAATACAAATGTATGTATGTATTTAAAAAAATAAATAAAAGAAATCTAAAGTTTTTATTGAAGTAACTAAAAAAGTTATTTATTAGTAGATTTTTTCCAAAAATTTTAGATTTTATTGAGCGGATGGTAAGTTTTTTTTTCTTCAGTGGGAACCCTGGATGCTACTGAACGTACATAACAGCCCTATACTCACAACACTGACAAAATTCATCGTATGACTATTGTCAAAATTATTGCGCCTAAAACACAATAAGTATAAACATTGTTACGCCGTTGTCGCGTACTCTGTAGGTCATAACAACAACACTGACAATAGTCATGATACGAGAGCTTCAAATAAATTTGCGGCATAGTATTAGCCAGCAGTAGTAAAGACAATAGTCAGCCGCTGAGTTTTTTCAGTGTTGTGGGGATAGGGCGGTAAGTCAAGAATTCCCGGTTAATTGGATCTAACTTTATGACTTCCGCTGTAGCAATTCTATCTCATAACTCATTATGCCACTGTACGTAAATATGGGCAGATCTGATTAAAAATCATCACTGTGTTTACATAGAGTACATAGAGAATCGGTTTCGGACTACCGTTTTTGAGTGCATCAGAAACGTACAGTTAAAATTTAAATTTTGCCATCCAACGTTGTTAGCATACACTCTTATAAATATTTTTATAAATTACAACAAATTAATTTTTTCACTAAATATTAACTTATGCTATTTCCAAATGTTCTTTTTTCAGTGATTCCGTGCAATCCTATTCCTTTGTACTCACAACAGATGACTCAAAGTGGCGTTTTGGTTTCTGTCGTCACGACCCGAAGACAGATACCGCAATGGTAATTATCACATACTTGCCATGGCACGACACATTTCTGCGATTGTTGACGCTGCTGGCCGAACTGCGGCGTGGTGATGCCAACACAACAACGAATGTCGACAATTCCCACAATGACTTTCGCACATTTCTCGCCGAAGCGTACAATCGCGGTGTGCCTGATCCGGGTGGACATTTGAAATTATTCTATAACGGCGGTCAAAATGTAAGTTCTAAAATTAACGCTGTTTGCAATTTCAATTATTTAATCTAATCTAATAAAATTGTGCTCATTTGATTGCAGTATTTCGTGTTTGAGCGGCCGTTGCAATTTCAGTTGCCCAGCATACCCGAGAATGTAAGTCAAAGTCTAAGCGTGATAAACTTAATTGAATGTGTGTGTGTGTGTGTGTGTTATTGACGATTATAATGTTTTATTTTTCTTATCCACAGCACAATTTAAATTTGTATTATAATTTTGTGGATCCAAAGAATATGATTGCAGTATTTGCTGCGATGCTGGCGGAGCGACGCATCATTTTCACATCGCGACGCCTGGATCGCTTGTCGTCGTGCATACAAGCGGCGAATGCGTTTCTCTATCCCATGGTGTGGCAACACATCTTCATACCAGTGCTGCCGATGAAGCTGAAAGACTATTTGAGTGCACCAATGCCATATCTAATTGGTGTGCCACAAACTGTGCTCGAAACGGTTTGTAAACAAAAGCAAATATTAATAAATAACAATATTTCATTTTCAATTGTAGCATATTTCTGATTTTACATGATCTCACATAGTACATACCCAGTAAATCCATTTACAATATTTATTTCCAATTCTTATTTTCTCTTGCAGATGACAACCGATGAGCTCGGCGAAGTTGTGATACTTAACTGTGATACAAAAATTTTCGAAAGCCCGTTCGATGATGTGGGCGAAATGCCAGCCAAAATTGTGTCACAAATGAAGAAACAACTCAGTCAATCGCATGAGCATATCGGCGATCGTGTTTCGAAAATATTTCTTGGCGTGTTGGTGCAACTGATAAGCGGCTATCGTGATGCTGTGGAATTCCGCGAAACAGGCAAAACATTTAACCGTCAAAAATTTATCGAATCTCGTCCCAAACATTTGCAACCATTTCTCGCAAAAATGATGGATTTGCAAATATTTCAGCAATTCATTGATGAACGCCTGCAAATGCTCAACACTGGTCTGGGTTATTCGGATGAATTTGAGCTAGAAACAGCACGTTATGCGGAGAAAATGAAGAAACGAACACACTACGAATTTCTAAATAATGTTAAGGAGAAGGTGAGCATTCGGAAAATCAAATTTAATTTAGATGATTGCTAAAAAGTGTTGACTCTAGCGATTTATTTATGCGCGCTTGCAAGTAGGAATTTGAGTATAAAAGAAAAATTGAAATAGTGTTGCTTGTTGCTTGGGGTGGTGGGGAACGCGAAATTGAAAGTGCAAACAAAGAATTGCATACTACTATTACTATCAGCTACATTAAACTTAGCATATAGCGTATTGCTTTTTACATACTCGATATTTTCCTATTTTGTTAAATTGTGCTTTTTTTGTACTTGAAAAAATATACCCCCTCAAAATAAGGCCATATCGAATTCGTACCGATCTACCCTCATGGGAAACAAGGATGTAATTTTATTATTAGAAGTAATATTTATCATGCATATTAGACTGTACCAGAAAAAAGTTCGCCGTACAACTTCTAATCTATTGATGGTAGAGAAAGTGGTGAAAATTAAAAAAAATATATATATATAAATCATGGCCGACGAATTGTGCTACCGGTTTTACCTGTAAATACTTGTATCATGACTAATCGTATCATAAACCCCGACATATGAATTTTTATAATTGGCCTCTAGTCTGCTAAGTCTTAAACTCTAGCCTTGGTATTTTTTGGCCAAACATAGGCATCGCCTTTTTACATTTTTCGCCATATAATCGGTACTCGCGGTCGATGTTTTTGTCTTCAGGAGGCAATTGGCCGAACGTAGGGTCGCTTTTTTAAATTTTCCATATCTTCGGCACTTACAGTCCGATCTTAAAGTATGATATATCGATGCTCTTATCCCGAGGAGTATATTTTTTGCTCCAAAGTTCGTTGACCTCCGGCACTCCGTTCTAGTATTTACCACTAGATCTCAGTCCTTATCACCCTAAAGTAACGTAAGAAAGTATTTCGATTAATCCAGTACGGGATCAATACGATATGTCTAAAAAAAAATTTTTAACTTAAAATGACGAAAAATAAATACCATGGCTACACCGAATACATATTTGATCGAAATTCAAAATTTCTAAAGCATAACAAAGATATAAAAAGTCGAAATTGGCATATCAGAAGTAAAACAATGAGACTTGAAATACAATTTTTGTTTTATCAGGGACCGTAACGGTTATAACTTTTATTATAAAAATCACTTTTTAATCGTTGTTAACTGAGTTTTATTTGTTGCTTAAAACATAACTGAAAATAATCGTTACGTTTTAAGTTTTATTTTTTGCTCGAAAAATAATCGTTACGTTTTAAGTTTTATTTTTTGCTCGGAAAATAATGGTTATGTTTTAAGTTTTATTTTTTGCTCAGAAAATAAAACTTAATTTTTACGTATGCGTATGTGCATGCGTGAATAGACAGGGCGCGGCTGCATTGAACTTTTAACGCCATTGTGAAGTGGCAGAAAGAAGGACANTGCATGCGTGAATAGACAGGGCGCGGCTGCATTGAACTTTTAACGCCATTGTGAAGTGGCAGAAAGAAGGACAAGGGCAACAACAAAAGCACAGATACTCAACCTATAATGATGAAGATGAAGATGAAGATGAAGATGAAGATGAAGATGAAGA